TAAGTCCTATTGTGTAGTGTTTCTGTTACCCCTCTGGCGCTGTTTCGGAGACGGAGTGGTAGGGATGGGACTAGGGACAGGAGTAGGGACAGGGCTTTAGTCTTACTTAGTGTTTATATACAGCTCTCTATCACTCACACAGTAGTAAGGGTGTCACAGAATCAGATTCCTCAACCCCCTTCGAACCCCAAAAACAACAAAAATGATCTCCCCCATAACCGTCTCTTTCTCTTTTGTCCAGAGCAGCAGCTTCCAAGAGAGATCAGTAGGGTGTTGCCCAAGGGCACTGTAGCAGGACATGTGGTTGGTAGTAGTGAGAATCTAACTTGTCAAGCAACGTGCAGCAAGAGGAAGTTGTTTGCTTCCCTGGTGTTTCTTTGGGGTCATGTTGAAGAGAGAAGGAATGTGAGGGAAAGAGAGAGAGGGGGGTTAGAGCGTTTCCAATGTCTGTGTGAACCAAGAACATTCCACGCTTTCACCACTACAGCCGCTGAGATCAAATCAAAACCAGTAGGGGGTTGAAACACGTCAGAAACATACCAAGTACCAGGAATGCCTCTCTCTCTCTCTCTCTCTCTCTCTCTCTCTCTCTATGTCAGGAAAGGTGCTCTCCTCCTCCTCTCTTCAGCAGATCCAGATGTGAGCTGTTTATTAAAGTCAGCCAACAGGAAATTCCCCAAATCTTTAGGGGCCCTCATAATACACAGAGAAACAGAGAAGGAGGGAGAGATGGAGAGACAGACAGACAGACAGGTAGATAGAGAGATGGATAGAGATAGAGGGAGAGATACATACAGTATCTACATGTATAACTCATCTCTTCCATCCTAACTTCATTTTACACCAGGAAACACATCCTGCAGCACTTAAACTGCAACAGCCACAGGGGAGAGAGAGAGAGAGAGAGAGAGAGAGAAAGAGGCAACTTCGACAAAGCTCTGAACAATCTGAGAGACAAGGTAAGAAGGAACATCAACTTAAAATATTCTTAGTCTAATATTGGACTCTATGGCAGTCTGAAATCTGGGTCCCACTCACCAACAGAGTCCAAGCAGAACACTAAATAACAAATGCAGAGCAGAATTAGGACGATACCCACTAATAATCAAAATCCCAAAAAGTGCATTGATATTTTACAACCACTTGAAAGAAAGTGATCCAGACACTCCATTACAAAGCCCTCACCAACAGAGAGACCCACCCAGAAACCAAAAGATGATGAAACCAAAAGCACTGGAAACCATTGGAAAGAATCAACAAAATGACAGCATAAACTGGAGTACTATTTGGCCCTAAAAAGAGAGCACACAGTAGCAGAATACTTGACCACCATGACAGACAAAAAGCTGCGGTTGAGAAAGGCTGCCTTATTTATTTATTTTTCGTTTTTTGAGATAGGTAAAGACTAGTCCAAGTCTGTCAATTTATGGCCCTGGTTCAGGGAAATGGTATGATTAAGTCACTCCTATCCCGACCATGATTATCATGACCCCGACTATCTCACTGTACACTGTTTTGATTTGTATTGTATTGCATTGCATCGACTATTTAATGTTTGTATTATATTTGTATTTAAACATTAAATTAATTACTGAACTTTTTGCGCTTTGGCAATTTAAATTAAATTAAAGAGAGAGAGAGAGATCTGTCTGTTCTCACACAGCACAAAGAAAAAAACCACAACCAGATGTCTAACCCCCCAGACACACACACACTCGCACACACACACACACACACACACACACACACCTTTGACCTCTAAAATTGTGCCAACAGAGAGAAGAGGATTGAGGCAGTGAGAGGGAGGCAGTGAGAGAGAGGGGGAGAGAGAGAGAGAGAGAGAGAGAGAGAGAGAGAGAGAGAGAGAGAGAGAGGGCGGGAGGGGGGAGGGAGGGGGCAGAATAGTTTGTGCAGCTTGTCAGAGAGCGAGTCCTCCCAGAAGAAAGAGAGAGGGGAAGGCGTGGGGAAGAGACCAATACACCAGCACTGCTGCTACAACACTGCAGAGGATCTGCAACTTCCTACAGCACAACAGAGAACCAACTCTACATAGAAACCTGCTAATACGCTGACATTCAACCCTGCTTCTAACACGCTACACAGTGAAGCTCCTGGAGGGACACAGCAACAGGGACGAGACGGAGGAAGGCAGAGTGGAGTGTGAGCTGGGCTGCAGCCTGACAGACAGACAGAGCCACGGGAATGGACCAGGGATTCTGCTGGATCAGCCAACTCACAGCAGCAGTCCAGCCCCAGGAGGAGCAGGGCTGAGGCCCACTGGCAGCATCCCAGCTTCCCCTCAATGACCATGAATGGAGATGTCCTTTAAGACCCTGAGAGCCCTGATGCAACGCTAGGCTAGCCGCTAGCTGGAGGAGCACGGAGAGGAGGAGGTGCAGGGCACAGTGGACGTCGCCCCACTAGAGGAGCGCCAGGACACTCAGGAACGGGGAGGCGAGGAGGAGGGAGAGGAAGAGGAGCAGAGTTTGGGAGAGGGAGGCGTGGGGGGTGGAGGAGCTGTGGCGGGTTTCGGAGGTCGCATGGCGGCCCGGAGGCTGGTGGTGGCAGCGGTGGCAGTAGCGCTACTTTCCCTGGTCCTCAACAACGTGGCAGCCTTCACACCCAGCTGGGTGCTGCAGAAGCTGGAGGACGGACGGAAGCGCAGTGTGGGGCTCTGGAAGATGTGCCCCGGTGGAGGGGAGAGGGTCCGCGACGAGCCCCAGGCTGGAAGGAGGGACCAGGGGCCACAGAGGCAGTGCGAGGGCCTGGGATGGGGCTCGGAGCTAGCAGGATACCAGGAGTTTCGCAGCACCGTCAAACGTAAGTGTTTTATGAACCAAGTCATGTGGAACAACCACATTAACCATACCTTCTAGCAAGGCTTTCTTTCAGTTATTCTAAGTGGAGATTCAGAGATAAACCAAGGAAACTGACTTGAGAAATCATTTATAGGCAGTTAAAGCTCTGCAGACGTGCAGGCTTTATGAATCTACATTATTTTTATTTTCTGTATGAGCATCCTAACTGAAGGACCTTTTAATGGCCTAAGAAAACCAGAGAGTTATCACTGTCGGTTAAAAAGACAACATCACCACCAGAAAACATCTAACACACACCTCTGTTACACAGCACATCTCCATCATGTTAGCACTGCCAGAGTGCACACAGTGCAGCCATTAGTGTTAGCCTGACAGGGTTTCTATGCAACGCTGATCTGGACAACTGCCCAGCCAGAGAGTCTTAATGGGACCATAGTTCTAAGATGATTCATCCTCAGTGAGAAAATCAATCACCCAAGGCCGGGTTCAGCTAGTACAGATGAAATGGACAAACTCTCGGCAATGACGCTGTTAATAATATGACCGTAGGAGTTTGCTTTAAGGTTTTTACTGAGTTATAACAGAACTTTTTATTGCTTTAAATTGTTTTAATCTGCCTTCAAATGACCATCCATGTGGTATCTAGCAGAGATTCTATTCTTCACAGATAAAGTCTTCACAGGTAAAGTCTGTACATGTAAATTCTTTAGGGATAAAGATTTTGCAAGTCCTTACAGGTTAAATATTTGAGGTACAATCAGGTAAAGTTAAAGTTACAGGTGAAGTGTACAGGTAGAGTCTTTAGTAGTAGTCTTACAGGTTACAATTTCAAAGGTAAAGTCAGGTGAAGGTGTCAATCAGTGAGTCTTTATAGATGAAATTAATCTGAAGTCCTCCTCTACCATAGCAGGTGATGGTGGTGATAGTGACCCTGGGTTCCCCTCTGTTCTCTGGTCTCTCCAGTGCAGTTTGACATGATGCGGGCCTGTAACCTGATGGCCACGGTGGCGCTGACGGCGGGCCAGCTGGTATTCCTGCTGGGGCTGTTGGAACTACCCTTCATCAGCCAGGACTCCCAGTGGTGGGAGGAGGCCATCGCTGCACTCTTCCAGCTTGCCAGTAAGTGAACCCGACGGCTCCTTTAGCCTTCAGTCTCTGTTCTAGGGCAGTGGTTTCGACCTTGGGGACTTTGGGAGCCCATTTGGGGTCACCTGATATGCATTTGGGTCCGCCGGAGATTGCTGACTTATAAGCTAATTAGATAATCGATGGTACATTTTTAATTTAAAAACACCAATAATTTAAAGGTTTGAAATGTCTCTTAAAGGTCCTAAACAGACTGCCTAATTATTTGTACCTACGACGACCTACTACTGACCGCTAAGGGTGGCGTGGTGTTGATAGGGTTCAAACCATGTGTGGGGGAGCAGATGCAAGTTGGAGTCACGGGGATTTTCAGACTTAAAATAGGGTTCACAGCCCAAAAAAACCCACTTTGTAACCATTGTTTCTATTTCTACAACCTGGACTCTCTGGACATATATAATAATAAAGACCCACATCGCCAGGGATTTACATCCCATCCCTTCAAGTAGAGAACTTTCGATTCACACCATTCCTCTGCCTCCCTGTAAATATGAAGCCTTATGGTCCTGTTTTACTTCACTAGTAAAATTTTGTCCATGTGTTTACTTCACCATGAGTTGTGTTAAATGACTTGTTAGATGGCTACGTTTTGCAGAGCAAAACAAGGAAGTGTCTGTTAGTTGAATGATTGATGTCCATTCTTCTATAAAAGCATTTGGGGTATTTGGAGTTGTTCCCAGCTTGAAGTAGAACAAGTACAAATGAGGTTGGCTTGATTAGTTTGGTCTCAAGACCAAAATAATCAAGCCAGAGAAGGAAGAGAAGAAGGAAAGGAAGCAACAAGAATAAGAGTCGCTCCTTATCAGTCCAGGAACCAGTTTTCAAGGAAAGGTCCACTGGAGCCAGAACTGGACCAGGAATAGAAAAGGAACCAGGACCCCCCAGCACCTTTCCCACATCTCAGTGGGGGTCTGGGCCAGTATATCCTGCCAAGAGGTGCTGGTTGTTATGGTATTGCAATATATAGTACATGCCAATTTTGGACCATTGGACGATTCTTACAATACCACAACTGCAAACATTCTTAGAATTGGGTGGCCCCTAGTGGGAATCTAACCCCTAACATTGGCAGTGTTAATGCCATGCTCTACCAGTTAAGTTACACAGGGAATCACACCCCTAACCCTGGCAGTGCCACTAACATACTCTACCAGTTGACCTAGACAGGGAATCAAACCCCTAACCCCGGCAGTGCCAATGCCATACTCTACCAGTTGACCTAGGCAGCGAATAAAACCCTGGCAGTGTTAATGCCATGCTCTACCAGTTGACCTAGACAGGGAATCAAACCTCTAACTCTGGCAGTGTTAATGCCATGCTCTACCAGTTGACTTGACAGGGAATCTACACTGGACCACTATCAGAGGTACTGGTTGTTCTGGGCTGCTGTACTTGCAGCTTTGGTGACCAGGGCAGCTCGGTGGTGGAGCTGCAGCGGTGGAGCGTTCTGCTCCTATTCTAAATTTAGTCCCCCGCTCCCAGGGATGGTGGGCCGGAGTCGCAGCGAACTGGAGAGCGCCAGGCGGGCGCCAGGATATCCCTGCTCAGGACCAGGAAATGCCTGCAACTACCTGTTATGCAAAAGCCCCACGCCGGGGGGAGGTGGGGGGGGGGGGGGATTGAAAGACAGTAGTTGGACAAGGACTTGTGCGCTCTGGTGGCTGTGTTTATGCACGTGTCAGCGTGAGTGCGTGTGATTGCATTTACTGGGGCATTGATAGAGATTCAAACTGTGTGTAAATAGTGAGGTTGGTGTAGGGGGATTGTGTGTTTGTTGGGTTTGGCGTGTGTGTGTGCATGCGTCAGGGTGATCGTGTAACAGTGTGTGTCTGTGCATGTGCGTATGTCTGTGAGTGTGTGTGCCTCTGTGTTTTTGTGATTGTGTCTGCGTTTTTGTGTATTTGTGTGATTGATTGCCTGTCTGTGTGTGTGTGTGTGTGTGTGTGTGTGTCTGTGTCAGCGTGTCTCTATGGGTGTGTTTGATTGCGTGCATACTGCATGTGAGGACTATAGGAATGTCCCGGGGTAAACATGGCCGCGGGGTGTGGCGGCTCACCGTCTCGATAAGACGGCGCGGCTTTCATGTCCGTCTTCATTAAACATCCAGGAAACCAAGCAGCACACAGTCTGGACAACACAACAGACACAAAGGCTTCTGTCAGGGGCTGCTGTGTGAGGGCGACACACCCACCTCCAGAGAACTCCTCCACGATTCTCCACCAGATAACCGTTTCCCTCCTCATCTATCATTCATCTTAAAACTAGGTGTTGACCGGATCCACAACTTCTATAAACAGAACAAATTATGATTTACAAAGCCATTGACATTAGTAATAACAGGAACAATATCTTGCTTACACACAGATTCTCTGAAACCTCTCAGTAAAGTGACGTTCTTTGGGGAAAATGACATCTTCCTCTGGACCTTTTTAGCGCCTCTATTTAAAGTCTTGACCATATTAGGGCAAATTGTCTGAACAACATGATGACCTGTCTCTTAGCAGACTGGAGCATCCTGGCCAATCACAACACTGGAAACACAACAAGACACCCAATCATGCTTTATATATATGTCCTTATAAGGAAACTTATTCAGCATTGCATAAAGAAAATAGAATTCTGCCTTCTCTTATTATTAGCTATATTAACTTATTATTAGGCATCATGAGCCACCATCATCATGCCCAGAAAGCTGCTGTCAGTTTTCATTCTGTGATGTGCCAAAAATGGCACACTTAACTATCACAAGCAGACTATGGAAAAACAACCACAACCATCCAGTCCTCATAAAGGAACACCTCTGAACACTACCCCAGCTAAAGAGCAGGCTGCCTAGGGGTAGGTGGCTGCAAGCTGCCTCTCTCTGGCTGCACTGTAACGGCTCAGCTCCACTAGAGCCATCAAGTGCAGCGTTTAATGAGCGTTTGGTCAGCTTTTGCATTGGGCTGGGAAACGCTGCCATAATAAATCAATAGAAGGTTGCTCCACTGCCCGTGTTGTGAAGCATCCGATGGCTCTGTCCAATATAAAAAAAGCATCACTTCTAAATTAAATGACATCATTCTTGGTACATTGATTGTTTTCTGACATTGTGAAATTGAATGTTATTACATTTGTGAACATGCGCTGTGGAGCACATAAAAGTTGACACGTTGACATGACGCTGATGGCAACGTGATGACCATGCTAATTCTTAAAAAGGCTTGGATGTGTTTCTGAATGGACAAGAACGCCAAGTTGGTCAAAGGTGAAGAGTGGGAGTCGAGGGGGTTAAAATGGCTGTTGTTGTGTGTGAAAGCAGCGCTGGCATTCATTGGCCACAGTGCCGTTTCTCATATCCATTGTGTCTCCACACGGACGCACACAGAGCAGAACCAACGGTGTACACACACACACACACACACACACACACACACAGTGTCCACTCATGTCACAGTAGACTAAAGTTGAGGAATTCAACCGACAGGGTGTTCGACTATGTTGTCTGTGCCCAGACAAAAGGGATGCTGGGAAATTAAGTCTGGATGCCTTTACTAGTCTGTGCTCCACAAAATGGGTTGAGTTGGACGCGTCGTCAGTGAGAAGGTAATTTAAGTGCTCATTTAAGCAGACAGGCCAGACTAGGGGGGCTTTTTAAGAATGAGCAGAGGTGTGTGAGTGGATTTAAGAATGCACTGCAGCCCTGTTGACCTGAGGAGGGTCTTGGTGGGTCTGGGAGTGTCCAGGTTTACAAGAAGACACCAGTTGAGATTCTCTGTGGCTGACATATCATGTCAGATGTCTGGCCGGGGCTCCAACCTGTGGGCGTGGAGACCAGGGAAGGAAGGAAGGCAGGAGAAGAGGGAAGAGGGGGAAGGAAGGCTGGCAGATAAGGCTTTGCCAAAAGCCCCAGAGAAGGTCTCCCGCCTACCCCTGTCGGAGTGGAGATCATTCAGGTCTATAGATAAGGAGCCGCTCAATGTTACCACAAACACACACACACACACATTTATTTTATGCAAATTCAATTTTTTCTTTACATATTTTTCTATACATAAAAAATATTGTACAGTTTTTTCTATAATTGTACTGCCTGACTGTACTTTTTGTGATTTGTAGTTTTTACTTAAAAATGTATTCTATTTTCTATTATCTTGTGCTGAGCAATTACAACAACTTCCCCCCGGGATCAATAAAGGAATCTGAGATTGAACTAGGCTATAGTCAAAGCAGAAAGAGAAGTCTACCAGCAGCACTGCCACATGGTGGAGCTACAGGAAACACACTGATTCACTTCCTGCAGGGCAAACATCCCCTCTCTTCCAGGGGTATTTTCGTTCTCTTTATTTACACTATTGTGGAGTGTCTAAACTCTTGATGCATGTGTTATTGTTGAGTGCAGACTGGCTCCACTCTAAAGAGGAACAGGAATAGGGGGAATTCACGAGAAGCCCCTATGTAGAAGTCCTGGTCATGCACAACTTCCATTAGGTCAGTAAATCAGGAGAGTTTTCTAACGGTACGATTGAGGTCAGCACAAGCAGCAGGGAGCCAGAGACTGCATGTCCGTCTGTCTGCACTTGGCATGTTAAGTCAGGTTCTCCTTGAGTGATGGAATGGGGTTTCAAAGAAAGCTCTTCCTGAGGTCATGTAGTATGTATAAACCAGCAGGAGCAACTTGTCAGAAGTTGTCTCTGTGAGGAAAGTCCACGCAGCCAGACAGGAGATAGGTGTGTTTGTACAAGGACACCGTTTTAACAGACACTGCTGCTTTCTTCATACTAGATCATCTCTTCATGTTAAACACATGATACAAACACAAACACACCAACAACAACATAGACCACCAAACACTGCTATTACAGCAACATCTTATCATCACTGTGAAATAACCGCTTTCAGTGTCCAACAGTAGAAAACTGTTATATTGGGTAGTTGTCTAGTTCTGTCATGATAAACTATATATGGATATGATGCAGGACACTATTCAAATGATGTCAGACCCCTCCAAATTATATCAGTCGTAACTGTGGTTAAACTAACTGTGATGAAGCTAACTGTGGTGAAGCTAACCGTGATATTGAACCATGTGATGAAGTTAACTGTGATGTTGAACATGTGATTAAGCTAACTGTGTTGAGACTATTAACCTAACAAGGCTAAAGCTACTAATCGGATGTCCTTTATTGACGGTAAATATTTGTAGCTGTAGGTTACGCTTACTGTGATAAAACTAACAATGATGAGGCTAACTGTGATGAACCTGTGATGACACTAACTGATGATGCTAACTGCTGAAGCTAACTGACGATGCTAACTGCTGAAGCTAACTGATGACACAAACTGCCGAAGCTAACCATGTCATCCGTGTTCTTCCTCCCCAGGCTTTGTGCTGGTCATCGGCCTGGTGACGTTCTATCGCATCGGGCCCTACACACACCTGTCCTACTCCTGCTACCTGGACATCGCCGCCTGCCTCCTCACCACGCTAGCCGCCGCCATGCTCATCTGGAACATTCTGCATCGCCGTGACGACTGCATGGCGCCCAGGGTTATCGTCATCAGCCAGAGTTTGGCGGCGCCTTTCCACCCTCGACTGGACAACGACTATGTCGAGTCGCCCTGCTGAGTTGGAATAAGCCCCGCCCCCTTGGGAGAACATCTATATTTAATGAGAGACTTAAGACCTGCGGGTCCTAGAACGCCACCTTTAGTTGACTGATAAATTAACCCACTGGCCGAGTAAACACATATCAGGTTAAGACAACATAGAGCTCTCCTTCATGGTTTTCAGAAACCTTTTTCAGTTTAATATTTTCCAATTAGTCGCAAATGAAAAGAAGCGATACAATCTCGGTTGATTTGCGTTCTTCAGTTCAGCGAGAAACAAAATCAGACCAACCAGTAGGAATTATCTGATTGGAATTGGAGATCTCTCTTTTTTACCTTGTTGTCCTGAGAGTCAGTAGAATATGAAAGCTCTTGTTCAGGGGGGGTGTGATGGCTGCTCGATCAGCAGGGGATGATGATGATGATGATGATGATGATGATGATGATGATGATGATGATGATGATGATGATGATGATGATGGAACCCTTGTTGACGTGATGACATGACTATTGGACTAGCATGATGTGTCTAAGCTGTTGAGCAGCTTAAAACTGGGACCAAAGAAAAAAATGGACTCCTTTCTACTTTCTACCACTGGATTCAACAATACCAGTTGTCACCGGCTGCTTTTCATT